CATTTTCTATAGATATTTTCTGGATGGCTATATTAAACTCTTTCAAGCTCGACGATCGGTTATCATTGGACATATCAATACCAATCGATTTCAATGAGCGAAAAGGACCCGCACTTTTCACATCCAATACATGCAATTTGGGTCATATAGGCAAACAACAGTGGTAACAGAAACACTGCCAACGGATGAACGGATGCAATGCTGCAGCAAGCTATTATCGAAAGCATCATACGTCTTGCCGTAGAAACGAATTAACGTCATGCTGTCGAGCGTTACATTCGTGCCGCTTGACCGTGGCAAGGTTCGAGAGAGAAGTCAGATGGATGAGCATCTAGCTGATATGGAGAGACCGAGGCGAGGGTGACGTGTATAGAGGAAGAGAGCGAGAGGACTGGATCGCGCGATGGATCGACGGATAGCTGGATAGAGGCGTCCACCGCCTATCCTCTTTCTCTGATTGCCTTCGAAATTAAACGGACCGAGTGTGTGTCTCGTAACTGCCATCAACTCCGGGATTCACTTGGTTATCGCTTTCCAAAATTAGCCGTTCGATTCCAGTCACATGTCACGCAAAGTTGTTGAAGAAGGACGCCTCAGAAGGGATTTCAGTAATTTCGACATTTGCAACATATCCATCCACTATACATAAAAAATCGAGTGAAAAATGCACACAAATACATAATTGGAGTTACGACGAAAAAAAATTTGTAAGAGACCATTCGAGATATTATTAAACTTCAGTGACTTTAAACATGACTTTAGATTTATTTGTGGATAAAATTACATTATACAACTCATCTCTGTTCCTGATTTATCAACTTATTAATACTTTCGTATGTTCTTGGTACATTAATTAAAAGAATATTATTTATGTATATTATTAATATATGTAGATAAATAACCAGATAACCATATAATAAGATAAATAACCATGCGTGAAATTTTATTCAAGATATTTTTGTACTTAAATATAAAAGAATATTATAAATGCTAAACATTTGTCTTGATACATTTTCAGAAATCGCAATGTATATAGAAATTGACTCTTTAGAAACATCATTCTTCGATACGATCAGTGAAAACTTTCGATTGAAAGGACACGCAATACGAGCCCCATTACCGTAAGAAATTCGTTCTAGCTCTTCGCCCTTTTCTCCGTCGTATTCTTTTGTTCCGTCGTCCCGTCGACGAATGGTGGAACTTCGCATCTGCCAGCCATTTGCGGTTAACGTCAAGTTTCGAGCAACGAGAGACGCTCTGATATTCGTGAAAGCCGATACAAAATACAAGCCACGGACATGTATCGGCTTTCACGCTGCTACCAGCGGAGCTGGTACAAAAACTTGTACTACGAAATATGTACACTGACGGGAAAATTCATCGCATCGAGCTTGATCGCATGATGCTTTGCTTCACAAATAATTATTATTTATAACAAATATTAATATTATTTTTACACATAAATATACATTTATATATATATTAAAAATTTCCCAATACAGCTGTATTTCTCAATATGTATTTTTAAATATACAAAACGATTAAATTCATCTCATAAATTTAATAACAATCTTCATAGAACCAATAACCGAAAGCCAATATTTCAGCAAGGAATCGAGCCGAGAGATACAATCGAAACCGCTCCCGAGAGCTGTGATTGTTCCTCGAATGCTAAAAAATTGACCAAAGTCAATACGGTCTATATCGTTCAACCTCCGGAACCACCTCTACAAATCACATATATAAGTTCCTCGGAGGCGCCCGGCAAATGCCGCGATTCGAAAATATTGAACGTGTCCAAAGTTACGACTCGCCCGTCAAACTTCGCAGATCGAAGTTCTCCGGAAAGCGCTTTCGCCGTGCGAGACGTTAGAGGTAGAGGTTGGAACAACGACGGGCTAAGAGAGAGAGGAAGAGAGAAAGAGAGGCGTATTTATCACGTGTTCTGAAAGAGAAGGGAGAGAAGGACCGGCTGTTTCACGGGGTAAACGATGGCGTGCGAATGTCCGTGACTGGTGGGCGGATTGCTTATCAAGAAAGACGGAACGGCTCGTGAAATGGCAATTAAACGCACGATCGTCCCTGTGTTAAGATCGGGCCACTCCTGCGTGTCGACGTCGATCACAGTGGACGCCCGCGCATCTTCCGTCAGTTAATCCGACTGACGCGAAACGGTGCACGTGTCGCGGTTAAATGATATGGGTGACAGCCAAAGCAATTTGATGTACTCAAGATTGGCGGTTGCATTCGGATCGATGTAGCTATCGGTAACGGAAAAGTTACGGATTATCAATTCATTGATAATTACAAGCTGTCACAAGCATAACGAATATACAAGGATGTTATATTCATATATTGAAAGACTTGCAGATGTATACAATTCGCTGCGTTGATAAAAAAGTGCAGACGCATCTTAGAATTAACAACTTTTTAGTAGATTGGAATGTTTTAATTAGGATAGTGAATATACAATTACTATAATTTCACTCTTTTCATGTTATAATGTATTCAATTATAATGTCTTTCAATTATAACGTATTCGTTAAAACTAGGTAACGAGTTTTCAAATATCGTATTCCCAGTATAATGTAAATTTCATCTTCTATTAGAGTTGTAACTTTTTCATATAAGTACTATAAATAAGCTGCAAATGGGTGAAGTTTTTTTTTTCCAGAAAAATATATCTTTAGATTAAATTTCCTTTCATTTAAAAAAAAAAATGCTAATTCTTTTTATTCTTTTCTTTCAACTTCACTTTTTTATTAACACAAATTAGCAAATTTGTAGAATTACAATTGACTGATATCTTCATTAAGTTATTATTAATTTTAGTTGAATTTATTAAATATGCAAGCTTATGAAATTAAATAACTTTATCAGAAATTACATAAAATGAAAAATCCATATTTACTGTCAGTCTTTATCTCGAT